AGAAATAAGAGAATAAAGGGAATAAGGGAGAATAAAAGTAAGGAATTGATCTTAGGCACAATTTGCTACTTCCATGGCCAAGTTCTGTTAACATAAATCAACCTAATGACTTAGATAAATGGTGACAATGTAGAGATAATCAATGGGGAAACAAGAAACTAAAATAATGTTCCTCCCAATACTATAGATGTAATTCTCCAAATCCATTTATTTAGGTTTTGGAGGCAAAGTCTAAGAAGAAATGTTCTGGAAGTATAATCTATGGAAGAAAGTTGTTCAAACAGACATGTAGGACAAATGGAACTAAATTTCTTCTATATTGATACAGGTTTCTCTCATTTCCTCCAATTTGAGCACGTGTCTATTTTATCCATAATATACAACTAGCAGATATTTAAAATTTTTTGTCTCGAATCCCTTGACCTATTTCATTTTGTCTCTTTCACATTTACATTACTGGTTAATTACACAATAGTAAGGGAGAGAAGTGACTAGCAGGCCTTGTCTTTTTATTCTTTACTTTATCTGTAAGTTTTGGGTGGAAACTTAGAGAAAAGCTAGATAAAGAATTGTTATTTGAGGAGCATGCTGTAACTTTTAACTTAATTCAGAGAATAATGGTGATAATGAATTACCATTATCTCAAATGTAATAGCAAAATATGTAGTTTAGCACATTCAAATAATTATAAATAAATACATCCACTGTTCTCTATGTTTTCTTAACTGTAATTTTCCAGTTATTTTACTAAGTTAATAATATAGCCATTCATTCCAAAATACTTATGGCAGAATGTGTTAATGGTTGTTGGGTTTTATTTTAACATGATTTTTAATTTTTCAATTATTACACAAAAAATTACCTTTCCAATGTAGCTTTTTCAAAGTTTTAATAATAAATTTTTAAGTGATTATAGTAAATACTATTTACCATATAGTTTACCTCTAGTGACTCTGTAATGGACAATTTTAAGAAGTAACCTATTATCATGGATTCTAAGTTATGTGTTATTGTCAGTTTTATCTTCATTTTAGAATATGCATAACCTTAAAGGGCAAACATGAAAGTAGTCTAAATACCATCAAGAATACCAAGCAGTCAGAAGAAATAAACCTATCTCATTTTAAAGCAGCAGCACATGTAAGGCATCACAGTGCATAATATATGAGGAGTTAGAAGACTGCCTCCTTTTCCTGCTTACGTGAATGGGAGGAGGGCAATCATTTTGCGTATCCAATGGCAACAAAGGCCATCTGAAAGAATGGCTTATGAAATGTGTTGTACTGATAATGCATATGGGACAAATAGTATGAAAAGACCAAGACTAAACATTGGAAAGAGGAGAAAAAAAAAACAAAGAGATTTATTCATTCTGTACGGAACTAACTCTACCTCAGAGCTCACCTATTGTAATACCACATTTGAGTGGTATAGTGAAGACATATATCAGATTGTTTTAACTTAAAAATCTGGAAGGCTTGAACAGAGAAACTTTTGCACCATCTGTGGTGTAGACTGAGGAATATTTAAATACTCTGAAGGTAAAAAGTATTACACTTTATGAAACTTTGGGGATGATAATACTATAGATAGATTTTAAATATTCATTGATGATTTCATTCTTTGAAGAAACTAAACAGAAATAATCCTAAATCAATATCACTTTTTTAGTATTTATATAATTAAAAAGAAATATTTAATGTAAATCATTGGGAAATATCTATTACTGTGGACTTTGTCTGCACTGTATCATTAGGAGATTAAGTTGAAACTCATGATAATGCTATTAAAACTGAATCTTACAGACATTTGCAAATAATGTCCAAATTTATAGTTATACAGAGATGTGTATACTGATTTTATAAACATTGCTGATGACATTTTCTTATTTCCAAACTAAAAGTTATCTTTAAAATTATATATACTTTTAAAAATGTATATGTTTCATTATAAAAATCTAAAGGAAATTCAAAAGAAATAAGAAAAGTAAAATCCACTAACAATCCCATATATGAAATTCAATTCAAATATTTATTTTTATTCCCATCTTGTCTATTGAATACAAAATCAATAGCTCTTATAAAATAATAAAAATAATCTTTAAATCATAATAATGGAGTAAAGTCTAATAAAAGTGTATAATTTGACTTATCTACATAAATCTAATTCAAGAAAATTATAATAAAATAATGTTGTCTTTTATCTTTCACAATGCAATGCTGTACAGTAAATTTTGAATAGAGTAAACTGGAAGAGAAGCCCAAAGCACTTTATTGCCTTTTTTTTTTTGGTTCTGTTAGAATCAGAATACAATCATTATGGATATCCTGACTTCTGACAATAACATGAAATTTAACTAAGGGACTTCTGTATGTGGAAGAATAAAAAAAGTCTTTAGCAATAACATTTTTGTACATGAGAAGAACATTCCTACATATTCATCATGAATAATGACCGTTCAGTGAAAAGTCTATGCATATTAGAGTGAATTTACATGACAGATATAATATTTTATAAAGTCAACATGAATGCGTGTTTATGAAACTTACCATTTGCATTAAACCTTTAATAAAATGTTTAATTTGTTTTTTAAATATTATGTTTTTATCATTCTCAATTTGATCTCAGATCAAAGGTTTAAAATTAATAATGAAATCACTTTACTCTAAGAGGGTTTTACAATAAAACTTCCTGTTGTGATTTGAAATCTGTTGACACAAAGGAATTCTCTAATTTCATTGTTTAATCTGGCAAAACCTAAAACAAAACAAACAAAACAAAACAAAACAAAAACTTTCTCCTGGAAACTTTAACTATGAGCTCTCTTTCTTGATATACAGTATATTTGAGATGTCATAAAATACCTTATTTCAAATTAGTGACTAAGAAGACTATTTAAAAATTACAAAAAAAAAAAAAACCTACAAAAGGTTGATGAATGTTTCCATGACAAATAATAAGCAGTGTGAAAGAGAACAAGCTCCTGTGGAATAATGCTAGATTATGAGTTATTCTGTTTGCAAAGACTCCTAGAGGGAAGGCTAATATGTACTTCATATTTTTTCCCATTGTACTACAGACTGGATTGCATACAGAAAGAGTCAAATAAGAAGTTATTCAAAATTAATTATTTCTTTGTATGTTCTCACTATCACATAATCTTAATGCATTTACTTACTAGTCCTTATGAATGTATAAAGATTGATTTAAAAAAAATTGTTCATATAACGCAAACATAATGCTAAAAATCAATATGGAAAACTAAAGATTAAATATTGATCTCCTGGATTTTTCTAAATGTTGTTGTACAGCCATTATTATGACACAATCTATGTGACTAAATTACTTTGTATTCAGATGATTAACAATAATAGTAGGCAAATACAACTAAATCAAATATGCATAATAGACTATTGGCTTGGCAGATCACCTGCAGAAGATTTTAAATCCCTGATGTCTTTCTATTGCCAATTATAATTCAGACATCATTGCCTCTCCCTGTTACTTATTGCAATGTCACTGAGGGAAGGGATGCACACTTATTTTAATAGCTTTAATCTTATAATTGTGATATTTAACCAATTTTATAAAATATGTCTGTTGCATTTAATGTATTGTTTCAATAAAAAAATCTGAAAATACCATTAAATATCATAACTGTAAATTAT